AATCACTATCAACGACAACAACATCATCATCACCATCATCATCAGCTACAGCAGCAACATCATCAATGTTGCAACAACGGCAGCAGCAGCATCTTCATCGTCGCCGTCCTCATACATCTGCAGCAACCTGAAAATGAAAGTAATAAAACCAATTCCCTCAAGACTTCAACACCTTAGCCCCTTCGCCCACCCAAATCCCAAGCCGTACAATCTAAATCCTTAGCTCTTGTAAGATCTTACAAACAGCTTACAAAACCAGGGCTCAAAAAAGCACGCAAGCAAAAACTAGGTAGAGATCCCAACATAAATCCCCTGATAGTTTATGACGCCGATGGGGTAGGGACTGACAGGGATGTCCTTGTAGCATGCTTATGCTCATGTCCTTTTTGGGACCACCCCAAAACCCCTAAACCATCAGAAAAGTAATTTCCCTTACTTAACTCCTCCCCCCCTGAACAAAAAAAGAAACTGTTGTTGCGACCTTGGCTTGCGAGGGCGTCCGGCAGGCCGGGTTCGGCGATTCTGGGCGACAGACTTCTTCCATGTGCAGAGGTGGCAGTGGTCACCTGAGAGTTAGCTTAGGGTTTAGGGTTTGTAGGGTCTTCATAGGGCTTGTAGGATTTATAGGGTGTATAGGGTTTAGGGGTTTCGGGTTTAAGGGTTTAGGGGTTCGCGCATGGGGTTTCGCGATCAAACTCCAATATCTCTTGGTTTCGGTCCTGTTCTGAGTGTTTTCTTAGGCCAGAGTCGGGACTTTGTTGAAGGAGGGACCCTAAACCCCAAACCCCGAACCCTAAACCCTGAACCCCATAACTGTAAACCCTAAAGCTTTAAAACCCTGAACCCCGAAACCCTGAGAGGGACGCTTGACTGAGGAGGGATAGTCGCGTCTACAAAAGCACACAATAAAGCGAAGTGAAGCCAAAGCTTCTTCCATCCTCGGCTGAGGGTTTTAAGGCTTTTCGTTTATAAAGTTTTTGGTTAGGATCTAGGGTTTAGTGTCTAGGGTCGAGGGTTTACGGTTTAGGGTCCAGGGCGTGCGGCTCATGGTACAAAGTGTAAGGCTTAGGGCTAACGTAGGAATCTGATTAACTAGACCCAAGAGTAACCTAGGAATAAAAAGGGTGCCCTTTTCGGGATAAAGGGGGTTATAAGGAACCTGAACCCTTAAAAAAGGAATAAGGGCCTACTCTGGGTCCTAGTTAAGAAGCCTTAGGCCTTTATTGGGGTTCCTTGTATGAACCGTACTATTTTGGGGGGGGTTATAGGCCCAGGGTTTCTTACTCAGGTTCCTACATTAAGGCTTCAGGTGTAGCAAACCCCGTACTGCAACCCCAACCCCTAAACCTTAAACCTGCTCAAACCTTAAACTCCAAACAGTCAACGCTAAACCATCAATCCTAAACCCGACATAGGGGTTTAAATTGCTAATAATCCCCCCTTTGTAGTCCTAGAAACCCTAAACCCTAAACCCTTAAACCCTTAGACCCCTAAACCCTAAACCCTAAACCCATAAACCCTAAACCCCTAAACCCTAAACCCTAAACCCCTAAACCTAAACCCCTAAACCCTAAACCCCTAAACCCTAAACCTCTAAACCCCTAACCCCTAAACCCTAAACCCTTAAACCCCAAAACCCCAAAACCCTAAACTCGAAAATACGGTTGATGATATAAATCCTGCATTACCTTAATGAGCCTAGACTATGGGAATCATGGTAAATTTCTTATTATGGGTAATGCAGGATTCATATCGTCAACAGTAGGGCTGCCCGAGCTGCAGTCGGCTCCGTCCTTGCAGCCCTTGCCCTTTGTGGCATACTTGCCTTGGACACATGGGAGTTTCCGAAAATTATAATCGGGATCCTACTATTTGGGGTACTTTATTAGGGTCCCCTATTTTCGCAAATTCCCACATGCTTCTGAAATCTAACCAGCACCCTCCTTGGTACCCTCAAATAGGTGGTTGTCAAAAATTAGGGTTCCTTTTTGGGTACCCTAAATATTAGGTGCCGTATTATATTAAGGGCCTAAAAAGGGACCTTAGTTTTGACAACCACCCAAATAGGGGTATATGGTCCCAAATAAGGGGCATTTAGGTTCTAATAGAGGGTAGATGGAGGGTCTAGGAATGAAGGGGTCGGAAATATGTCCACTGTTATTCCTTAGGGCTCTTAGTAAGTATCTTGAAAAACATCCCGGTCTTACCCCCCGCCCCCAAAGTCGAATCGAAGTTTTTTTGGAGATTACGGCGTAGGGACCGTCTATGACATCGATTGAGTTTGATGTGATGCTGAGCCCTGGCGATGGAGAGCGGGTGTGACCTTTAGGTGGCTTTGTTGAGCATTCCTTTCTTGAAGGTTCTTCTCGGTCTCCTGCAACATCTGGAATTCCCAGTCACGAGAAGCCAATGTGCAGCACACTTGTGGGAGATATGCGAAGGTAACAAAATCTAAGGTGGAAGGTTCAGGAGTCTAAACCCTAAACCCTAAGCCCGAAACCGGTCCAGCGTCAAAAACCTCGCATCAGATCTCATAATCTGGCCCAGCTGCAAGCAGGGTTGCATGAGAAGGGATGTCCTGCCACGGAGGTCCAAAAGGGCAGAACGGGCTGTCTGAGAAGGGAGGTTCAGGCTATGGTTTTGATGGCCCTGGCGCAATTCGAGGTACAAGCCAATGGATTGAGGGCAGGTGTCCTAGAGACTCCAATATCCCTTAATTAAGGAATATACTTTAAATCATATTCGGGATCCTACCATAACTTAAGGAATATTCCTGAATTAAGGGGTATTAGACTCCCCTAAACCCTAAACCCTTATAGATCCCTTTAAGGATCCCTTTTAGGAACCCTTAGGGTATATTATACTCCTTAATTAAAGGATATTGGAGTCTCTCGGGTCTACCAAACTTCTTCGCGTGAGCGCCCAGGGAAGGTTGGAGGAAGGCGTCGGGGCAGCTATGTAGATGCAACTTGTCCTTACTTAGAGGATCATGGGACTTAGTAAGTAAGTTATAACAGGGGTTATAAGTCCCCTAAGTGGGGTTATCCTAATTATAACCTACTTATAACCTGACTTACTAAGTCCCATGATCCTTTAAGTATGTAGATGCAGCTTGCCCTTATGCAATTAATACAAAGACCTTAACAATTAAAAGAGGGTTTGAAGGTATACTATATATTACATATTTTAATTATATACTTACATTATTTAAGGAACCCCAAACTAGTACTGGTAATTAAGGCCCCTGTAGTGAGTGGCCAGGGACCCGGTGAAGCCCAACGGGATCCGAAACACCCAAAGAAATGTTTTGGAATACACTTGGACGGAGATGCAGAGGACTTGGCAAGTAGGTAACCAAGTAGAGCTATAAGCAACTACCCGAAAATGGATCCCAACCGGGGCAATAATACTTATAGCTTACAAGTCTAACAAACAGCCACTTGCTGAGTCCTCCGACCCTCAAAGCAACCCTAGAGCGACTCTGCAACAGCCCATGACGTCCCGTCTAATCCGCAAGCTCCACAAGGCCTAATGGCCCTTAGCTTCGGCCCGTGGCCTTAACTTCTACGCCACAAGCCCGCGCATAGAACCCTTCAACAAACCATCGAACCACAGAACATACACCCTAAACCCTAAACCCAACCTCGGGAGCCGAACGACGCGCACAAGGGATACCTTGGCTCTTCTCGAACCACCGGGTGTAAAGCTCGGGGAATAGGTTTGAGGGATTTGGGCTTTGGGTTTAGAGTTTAAGGTTTAGGGTTTCGGGTCGAACCACTAGGTTTAAAATACACTCAGCTCTAAACCCTCTTCCTTCTTTCCATGCTCGGGAGCCCGAAGCGCTAGACTATACAAAGACTCTAGACCTACACTTCATAGGCGCAGTTATCTCTAAACCTTAAACCAGAAACCTCAAACCCCATTTTGCTTCTCAACCATGTTCCCGAGACCCTAAACCATAAACCCTAGTCCCTTCATCCTGAACTCTCAAAGCCAGTTGAAGCCCCAGACATCTTTTTTGGGAAATATTAACTTTTCCCAATTAAGATGAGCCCACTTAGGGGACTTAGAACCCCAATTATAACCCACTTCCTAAGTCCCATGATCCTCTAATATGTTTAGAACCCAAGCCCTAAACTCTAAACCCTAAACCCCAAACTCTAAACCCTGAAACCCTAAACCCTTTCGGCACCTTTCGGGTAACAGTCGGCCTCAGCGTCAGCGGAATCCGGCTTCGCCTTCAGCGCTCAGCGCTTCAGGCGCACCGGGGAAGGCCTATCGTCGTCCACTCACGTCCTCGCTGGACACAGACACCGTTGGGCAGGGCCTCGTGCAGGAACTGCTCGACTCGCTCAAGCCAGACGTCAGAAATCGCAACATAACAGCATGGCAGCTTAATTGCCAAAGAGGCCGAAAACGGTCTTACTTCACCAGTAAAAAGCTTACCATGCACAGCAGCAACGATGGCACGAACATGCTGTCTGAAGAAACGAGCACGCTCTGACATCGAGACCGCAGCAGTTACGGGATTCGTTTCAGCGAAAGGCATCCAAGACTTCGTTCTCGACACATAAACAGGAGGAGCCTGCCCAGTTTCCATGAAGAAAGCAAAGTAGAGCTGCACGAACGAAATCCATTGAGGTCTACCCGCCTGGACAGTAAACAAATCCCTCAGCCAATTGGCAAGCGATCTCACGTATGCATGGCCGTACTTGAGAACATGCCTAGGCATGGGGTTCGGCTCAATACCCCACGTGGGCGGATGCCCACCAGGCTCAGGTTGTTCAACAGTCGCCACCAGGTCCTTGCCTTTAATGGCCACTTCCGCCACATCTTGATGCAAGAGGGCCATCGTCTTGGCCAGGGATGACAGAAGTGCCAGGTCACGTCGAACCTCGTTCCACAAGTTCCAAAACAATTGTGGTCTAGCCAGATTGGCCTGATGCGCGGCCCGATCCACGGCTGCATTATTGGCGATGAGCCAATCTACAACAGCGGATTCAGAGGTCCTCGTGAGCCGCAACCTTGTGTATCGACCATGGGGTCTGAATTCGCTCCACCAGGGCCACGACTTCAGACCACAGGTCACAGTTGGGTAAAGAAGATCTCACCACCAGCTGCCCCTTGCCAGCTGCACGGAGTCGCTTCACCACGCCTGCACAATCCGACCAGATACGAACCACTCTTTTGGAAACCAGAGCCACACGCAGGGCCGCGATTACAGCAGTAATCTCAGCCCGGAAAGCAGTCTGTAGAATACCCCGGAGTGGACCTGAACACAAAATCCATGGCGTGATCCCCACAGGAGCGGCCAAAGTAACAGCCCATGAAGCCAAGCGAATTTGCGGCAAGGTCGGCAGGAAGCATGAGCCGTCCGTGAAAAGGTCCAGGGAGTCTGGCAAACTCGATGGCCAGTCCATGTCGTAGGTGCCATCTGGAATTGCATGCAAAGCACGCCACAAGTCAACCTGTCGCTCAGGCCGGAGCGCCCAACCCCGTAAAGCGAGGGCAGGCTGTGTCGTCGCCGGATCAGGTAAAGCCCATCCAGCATGCTTCTCACGGCACTCCGCGAATCCAGGACATTCCCACAACCGATGGTGTACACTGTCACGACAATCACAGTACTTACAGGTAGCAGTATCCAGGGGATCAGTGCTGAAGTGGTGCAGAGCATCTTGGGTAAAGAACGCTCCAGACTGGGCAAGTATCAACACCAAACTCTGCTGTTCACTAGCTAGCTTGCGAAAAGAAGCTTTAAGGCCAGGGTCAGCTCGCGAAAGCCCCTGAAAACCAGGCCGAGCCTCGAGCTCCTGCCCCACCCGAACTTGCCAAGCAAAGGCCAAACGAAGCCCTAGCTCTTGAGGGGCGACCTTCCATGGGTCAAAAGTGGAAATCCCGTCTTGCAAGAGCCCTCGCTCAACATCCCAACTAAGGCCAATAGAATGACACCTTTCAAGAAAGGCCTGGGCCGGCCCCGGAGTCCAACGACCCTCAACTTTCAACACCTGGCTAACCAACAGTGAAAAGGCGCCCGGGTCAGCAAAAGCCCTCAAATCCTTAAAGGTGGAAGCGATCGCGAAGAACTGAGGATCGGCCAACGGGTGGCACACAAGACTAAGGAGAACCTTAGAATTAAGCCCCGGCCTATCCAACCCTAGTCCTCTTGCCGCCCCGGCCCGGAGGCCAGCAAAAGCCGCATCACACAACGTGACCGTAGAAATGCCGTGCAAGGCCCGAGGCCACGCCGCCACCATTAAAGCATTGATTTTCTGTTTCAAAGGGGCACAGGAAGCAGACAACTTCGGCCACAGCCCCTCCAAGGCTTGTATGCGCTCCGAGATGGTCGAGGCCGATCGCCGGCGAGTGAAAGCCATGTTGCCACCAAGGTTGCGGCATGAAAGGGCCACTTGCACACCCCCACGGCGCAACTCACGTCTTTGCACAGGGTGGGTCGCCCAATGAATTGTTTTCGTAGGGTCCATGGCCAAATCCCAACTCTGAACAAAATCCTCAACCGCCTTCAAAGCTCTTTGCACTTCAGGACCATCATTGCCCATCAACTGCCAGTCGTCCACAAAGGTAGAAAGAACGTCCGGACTCGAGCTGCTGCCTACGAAGACATGCAAAGCGAAGTCAACGATCGCCATTGCCACACATGACAAGGCACAACCTTCTGGGAAGCCTGTAGCACTTGGGAGGGCCGGGCCCGTTGCACCTCGGATCTGGAACCTTCGCGACAGCTTGGCAACAGCACCACTCCAGGCATTGATCAGCCCTCGCGGCAACCCTAATCGTAACCCGATGGCAAAGACAGGGGCCCTAGGCAACGTGTTAAAAGCTTTGCTGAGGTCCAACAGAGCTCCCACTAGCGGCCTCCCCTCAATCTGGGCCTGCTCAATAGCCATCTGGAGCCCGTACCAGACACCACCAGCAGACCGGCCAGGCAAGTTGCCAAACAAGTTAGCCGGCGCCACTTTGGACAGATGTCGTAGGGCCTCCTTGGCACGAATGGACGACCATGTGCGGTAGGCCATCGGCAGGACACAAATCGGCCTAAACTGGGTAACCTCAGCCGCCCCAACCACCTTTTCTAAAGCGGAGATTCGGGCATCAAGCAGCTGCGGGGCCCAATCGCCAGAGCCCTCCGCCCGTGCACACAACCCGATCACAGAATCGGTGAGGTCCGTAGGCAGGGCCAGAAGATCACCTCGGGAGACCCCATCTAGGCCGGTCGCCGATCGTGCATGCTTTCCCTGGATAGCCGCCCTCCAAGCAGGCACGGTTATGCTCGCAAGGGCATAAGGCTGCACCGGGTTCTCCGGAAAGGCATCAATGATGGCAGACCACCGATTAGGTTCAATGTGTTCATGCTTCATCCATCGCTGCAGCCACTCAGCCCCAAAGACTGAAAACAAGCCCGGCAAATCAGCAACAACTCTTTGCTGGGACACAATGTCCCCGACATTAACCTCCTCGGTTTCACCCCAGAGTGCATCATCGGCAACCTGATGGACTTGCAAGGGTCGCCCATTGATGAAAAAGCCCTCTCCTTCGTGCCATCGGGGTGCACTATCCAACACAAGAGCCGCCTCATCATGACGAACCTCGACCACCTTTGCCTTGACACTTTGCACAATGGTCTGCACTGGCTGAGCCGCTGCCTTTTGAAGGTCTTTGAAGATAAGTGCCGGCGATTGCACCCGCCTCTGCCTTGCATCCACCTTTCGTTGCTTGCTAAGGCGCTTTTCCAAATCCTGAACATTGGCCTGGAACGAAAGAAAGATTTGTCGAGCGACCACTGGTCCCGGAAGACCCAAAGCAAGCTGCACCGGATCCTCCGGAAGGCACACATCACGCTTGGGCCACCAGGCCACAAACGAGGGCTTGAATCCCGGGGCATTTTGAATGGCATGCCACAACCCAGCCCGATACAAGGTAGCATTATCCGTAGTCGCCTCCCGCCCCAGAGCCTGGACAAGGGCTTGGAGTCGGCGGAGCTGCCGAAACCACTGACAATAAAGACGGTCCTTTCCAAAAAAGCCCGGTTTCACTTCACCAGCACGGCCAACCGCCACCTGCCCCTGAAAAGCCTTAATCATCGTGATGTCCGACGTCTGGCCTCGACCAACCTCAGCCGGACGGAGGGCAGCTTGGCCACATCCCCGGAGAGCTTGGGAAGCTCTGGTCTCAAACTCCTGCCAGATTTTCCGGTAGACTGCCGCGGAGTCGCCCACCACGGGCACTGTTTGGAAACCACCCTGTTCCATGGCCTGAACAACTTGTGGGCTGAACTTTCGCTGCCGTGGCATTCGCCAGATTGGGCTCGGCACTGATAAGCCACGAACCTGAAAGGTTGCCAGGAGAGCAGAATGATCACAAAACCAGGTCGGGTCAACCTCCACTGCCTGGAGCAAAGGCAGAAGCTCAGCAGAGACAAAGAGGTAATCTTTGCGAGTGGCATTTTTGCAAGTAACTTTAGGAATGCAGCCAGTGCGTTGGTGCCAGATGTCTTGCACGTCAATGAACCCGTGATTGGCCCACTCACGAGCATGCTGCAACGCCTGTGGCTGAAGGTTGAAGTCCCCAGCAATAAACCGAGGTCCCTCCCCTCGATGCACAATCCTGTCAGTGATGGCATCCAAAAGGCAAGACGTGGCGCTCGGAGCAGTCGGGTAGCCATAGGCAACGGCACCCAAAATCGACAGAGCACCCACCAGGAAGGAGGCCACCTGAATCCTGGCAGTGGAAAAGAGGGAATCATCAAAGGCATGCGGGGCCTGTCGGCAAGGCACAGACGAGAGGAAACCCACCCCGGTATATTCCCCAGTGACAGCACTTCGGGCCCGGCACGGCGCCGGTGGCCCCGAAAGGTAACGAAAAGCATCGCCAGCATGGTGCAGGCCTGTACGGAAAAGGCTCACCCCACGAGCCGTAAGGTGGGACTCGGAAACGGCATGTATGCCTCGGGGCAAATCAGAAACCACCCCATGCTTGCCATTCAATCCGGTAGGATTAAAGGCACCCAACACAAAAGTATCAGCTTCAGCATCAGGACCACAGCTTGGGCCCGGCCCCGGGTGAGAAGCTTCCCCAAAACGAAACGACGAAAACAGAGCCAAAAGCCCAAGGTGGCTGGCATTGCATGCTCTCCCCTTGAGGCAGCTCCCAACTGATAAATCACACATGCGCCTGCCAAGGCAGGCCATTGGCGGAGCCACGGCACCGCGCCCTCCCCGCCAAGGCTGAAACCTCGATCCTAGTCACTCATTTCGAGCCCGCTTCGCACCGAGGAGCAGCTCGAGTCGCTCCGTTTGCTCATTGAACAATTCCTGAAAGGCATCCCGCAATCTACTCTCCTGTCCCTGCACCCGGGTGTTAACCTCAGCAACCGAAGTCTCCAGAGCAGCAACACGACCCTCAACAGATTGCGTGGCAGCAGCGACCTGGGTGGTCACCTGAGCCGTGATCTGAGCCTGCAGCTTGTCCTCAAATGATTTCACATCGAAGGGCGGAGCCGGCACAGCAACTGGACGGGGAAGCTTGGCAGGTAGGGCTGCTGCCCACGGGTCGTTGATCTGAAGGGGGTCTTCTCCGGCCGGAGGGACCACTGATAAGGCCTGCATTGCCGCCTTGGCGGCAACAACTGGTGCCTGTGCCTGGACCTTCGGAGTGGCCTTTGACTTAACCTCGCTGATTAACACCTCGCCTTGCTGAACATACAGAATCGCCTGCGGCGGATGCTCGCGAGCAGCCACGGCCCACCACAGGCCCGAGCCAGATGGGCGTGGGATGGGTTGCATGGGGCGGGCTTCCCACTTCCACTCCTTGAATGCCTTGACGATCGTCGCCCTTTGCGTGCCGTATGGCCACGGCCCAGCATGAAATGTGAGGGCCCCTTCCATGGCCATATACGGGGTTGTAGGCCTGAGGATGGCATGCAAAGCTGCAGTGTTGTCCTTGGCACAACGAACACCAAAACGCTGACCGACCCTAGCAAGGCCCACAACATCAGCATGCGTTTGCTTGAAAACCAAAGCATCGTGATAAGAGGCTTTGGGCATCCAGAACACATTGTAATCCACAGAGTTCTGACGTGCTTCCTGGCCACGGGGCTCGAAGTAAACTCCAGCCTCACCTGAGTACCCCAACAGCAAAGGCCCCAATGCAACAGGAACCCTCAGGAAAGCATTGAATACTGCAGCGTCCTCTGGCTTACAAGCACGAAAACTGCCTGAGGCCCTGCCCCAAACCTCAAGAACAGCCTCGGGCACCCCGGGAGATGATGTGCCATGCCACTTGCTGCATGTGCAGCCTGCCGAATCACATGTCTGCAAGAGAGCACAGACCTCGAGCACCGATCGGAGGGGCTTCTTTACGAGGGAACTCCAGTCCTCGGGCCACTGATCTCGATACACAGCAAGCCTCACAATCGCCGAGGGGACAATATCCAGAGTGAGGCGCGAATCCGGCTGGACCTTTTGCACATATCTGTCGCCGATTTGCAGGAGGGTTGCCGACAACAGAGCCGGCTCCTTGCAAGGGCCACATGTTGCCTGAAACCTGACCAGCTCATGCTTCAAATGAGTGCCTTGCAAATCAAGATCCCCCAGCACAAGGATTCCAAGGGCTTGCTGCGACACTGGCTGGTTAATGCGCAGATAAGGCAACACAGCTGGCCCCGCCATGACAACCACCCCCTTGGCTTGGGGCCCAATGTCAGTTGCCGAGAGTTGCTTCAAGGCATGGCCATCCTGTGCAAAGACCCCCGGTGCAACAGTAACCTGCTCGGGTTGGGGCATGATCCAAGTTGGGTGCTCCGCAGCAGGTGGCTTCTTGGCCTTGGTTTTCCTTTTGGGCCCGATCTCCTCGCCTGCCGCGGCCTTGGTAGCAATAAGACCCTGAAGCTCATCTGGCAACACAAGTTGGAACGGTGGTGTCACGTTAGAGCACACCGCTTTCAGGCTACGCCACTGATTGGCCCCTTGCAAGGCCGATTGAAGCGGTCCTCTGCCAACCCTTTGGATGGCTGCCTGGACACGACTCTGGATCATGGCCTCCGGCACCCCTTTGTCTCGCAGCACCCCAGCCAAGCCGTGCTCCAACAGGGCCGGCACAGTTCCTGCAAGGACACACGGAGGTCGTACCCAACATGATGCACTGACCTCTGCTCTGAATGCATTCGCACACGCTTGCACAAAGACCTGATCCCGCCGATGGTCCGGCAGGAGGCCTCGAAGGTGATGGTGAAGGTCAAGAAGGGCTAAACTACCACATTGACCAGGCAGTGGCGGTCTCTCAGGTCCGCCTTCACAATCGAATGAAGCAACACCGCTTCCTGAAGCCCGTGCAATGGCCCAATTGGCCTGTGATACACCTTCAGCAAAAGGCCCCGTGGTGGCTGACATGGGAACACTCGCCCAGGCATGGACCCTAGGCGGGCAGGCCATCCAACACAATGTGACCCAGTGGCCTTCGATGGCCAATGCCGAGATGACCGTGCCTGTAGCCTTTGACATCTCAAGGGCGGGGAGCACAGCTTCAGGACGGGAAGCCTGGACCGCAGCAGCCATGTCAAGTGGATCGACTACCGTCACCTGCCTGCCTTCTGACAGCGCCAGGCCCAGCAGGCCATGAGCCATCCGATCATCTGCAAGCCACCCATTCTGAAGCACCAACGCATGCAAGCGGGCCTCTGCAGTAATGGAGCTGCGGCTCCGGGCTGAAACCTGAAACCTCGGAAGACCTGGTGTTGCCAAAAGGGGCGGAGCTCCCCAAGCCGCAAGCCGCACATGATCGCCCAGTTGCACATGAGAGGCGAGGTGAAGCAACTCGCCATCAGCTGCCACCCCATACAGGATCACAGCCTGGCCTCGATCCAAGTCATCACACAAGGCTTTGGCCCACTCAACCGGCGCCTTAGCAACAGCAGCTGCCAAGTCCCCTGCAGTCTCGATTAGCAAGCTAATAGACCAAAAGGCAGACACCTCAGACGATCGATCATGACACCTTCGCTTTGGGCTCGGCACCTCAAGCTCACTGCATTCTTTCTCCACGGCAGATGCAACCTCAGCGCCTGTGTGCAGCACTGCAGGGGTCGGGATACTAGCAGACGGTCCCCCTAAACCCAAGAAACCCGAAGGGCAACCGTCATCTAGGTCGCTGGGTCCCTGACACAGGGTGTTGCTGCCCAGACGACCAGGGGTTGGGGGCACTTCTTCCACCGGCAGATCAACCCTTGTTCTCGCAAGAATCTGCTGATGCAAACTGTGGCACAACTGAGCACTAACCCAAAGCAGATGGGCCCCTCGGATATCGGCATCCTCAAGATCCTCAGACCTGCACAAGGGCTCCTCAGGAGGCCTCAGTTGGACTGGCCCAATACAAGGGGCAGTAAGGCAACACCACCAGGATGCAAACCCACTGTTCTCATGGCAAAGGGAAAGCTCGCAACAATCAAAGCCCGCCAAAGCCCTGAAAACACCAATGGATTCCCGGCACCGTTCCGCGGCTTGTGCGGGCCCTGTGATCATGATCACCGGAATACAGCTGAAGAACACCGCTCTCAAGAACACTGCCAGCATGGCACTTGGCTGCACTTGCTCTCCCACGGCCTCCTCAAACAAGGCACATGCTTCCAGCGACACATCGATGAAGGCTAAGCCGGCCCTCGGCGTGGTACGTACTAGGTGGATCGCGATCGCCTCAGCTTGTGTGGCCGGCTTTCCTTGGACGAAGCCCACCCCGAGAGTGGCCTTCAAGGCCGTCTTCACTACGATACGTGGCACCATTTCGAACTGCCAGCCTGACCCTGATAAACCCGGCCACGCAGCACCATTATCAGAGTTAAGAACCCTTGCCAGCACAAAGTCACGATCCAGTGGCTCCTTCACTCGAAGTTCAACGGCCTCGTCGCCCGCCTCAAGGTGAATCCCTTCGTGAAATAAAGCCCTAAAGCCAATCAAAAGGAAGACACCCTCCTCCTGGGGCCTGATTTGCCTGAACGTCACCGACAAAGGGCACCCAGAAGGAATTGCTCGAAGGCCAGACTGATCTCGACGAACCAAAACTGTGACCAAATCCGCTTTGATAGCCCAGACCGGTTCCAAAGAGACCATGGCACGAAGTGGCACAGAAAAACCCAAGCTCTAGCTAGCTCCGCCCCGCCACTGGAAGGCACTCGGGCCAAAGGGCTGAAACCCTAAACCCTGAACCCTAAACTCTAAACCCTAAACCCTAAACTCTAAACCCTAAACCAGGTGAAGCCCTAGGCGCAGCATGGGCTTCTGCTCCGAATCTGCAGGGGAGTCAGCCTCCCCAGGCGACTCGGCCTCTGCAATGAAGCAAGGGCTCAAAGAGTTATATAGAATGGGTTTCTAGGGCTTTATGGTTTAGGTTCTAGGGCTTTAGGCTTTAGGGTTTATGGGTTTGGGGTTTAGGGTTTAGGTTTTAGTCGGGTTCAAGGTTTAACATGTTGCAAGGTTTTATCCTTCTTCATAGCGCTCGAAAGAATTACAAGAATAGTGTTTTGGTGGCATAATATAAAACCACTACAGAGACCAGGACGTAACGAGAAACTCTGATGACTTATTCAGACCGGGTTGGAGGCTTGATTGGGTCTGGGCTTGGTCTTACTACCCCAAAAAGCCACAGAAATACAAGGTTAAACCTTCCGACTCCTACAAACTATAAGAACTCAAAAAGTTTAAAGGCTAGGTATTGGGGATCTAAGTGGTGTCTAAAGGCCGAGGAAGACTTCCATCAGCCTATCGGCGATTTGGGGTTCGGAGTAGGGTTTCGGGTGGGGGGGGTTAGGGCCGTTTAGGCCTAAACCCTAAACCCTAAACCCGTAAACCCTAGACCCCATAGGATTTAGGGTTCAGGGTTTAGGGTTCGGGGAAAAGTTCTCGAACTCTCGAGGTCTACTGCTCCAAACTCAGACATAGTGATCGTCATAACAACTATCCTTGCCATTGCCTTGATACTCCAGCTGTGATCACACCTGCAATCCAGCAGACCTACAGTTCTAGGAGTTAAGTTCTGAACCCTTGAGTATATAATCCCTGAAAAGATGTGTCTGTGGGTTTACAGGCAGACCCTTGAGCCTCAACTGTCGAACAAAAACGAGCAGCCCCAACGAGCGTAACCTTAACCACTAAATCTGTAACCCTAAACCCTGAAACTCGAACCTCAAATCCCCAAGACCCTGACCGAAAACCCAACGCAAGGGCCTGGATCATATTTGGAATAAGGTTTTCGACGGGGGTACATATCTTCGTTTGCAATACACTCAGGAACGGTACTGAGGGATTGTCTTGGTAATACAAGGCTGATACGCTTGTAACCGCAGCTATAGTCTGCACCCTGAACCCTAAACAACTAAGCCCCAAACCCTAAACCCTAATCAAATTTGAGCATGAGACCTCCGTCGTCTCCTCGCTCTGATCAGCCCAGCTGTCACGGAAAGCCTGTTGCGGTCCGTTCATGCTTTGGGGAGCTTCCTTGTTTGTTTCTGTTGGGGCTTGGGGTTTATGTGGCTTTAGGGGGTTTCGGGTTTGAGGATTCGAGGCGTTTGGGCGTAGGTATCAGGCTATCTAGGTTTTTCAAACCCTAAACCCTAAACCCTAAACCCCTAAACCCTAAACCCTAAACCCTAAACCCTAAACCCTAAACCGACTCGACCCACGTTGTCGGGTTTCAGTTCTTGAGTTGAGGATGTTCAAGACTCACACATGGGTGGTTGTCAAAATGATGGTCCCTTTTCGGTACCCTATATATTAGGTACCGTATTATAGTAGGACCCAAAAAGGGACCCTAGTTTTGACAACCACCCACATCTCACTTGTCACCTTTTTGTGCGCACTTTGGCGTTTACGGCATAGTCTCTTCTTAAATACCACTTTGAGCAACATGTCTTGAACAGCGCGGAGGAACTTACTGCCCTTAACAAGGGTTCTATAATAATGGTTACAGAGCAAGGGCTCCTTAATGGTTCTATCACATGGTCACTTCAAGAGATCTTGCATTCGCACGGCCTGTGCAACGTTCTTCATGTAAGCGTCCATGTGGAAGTCTGGGATGGCCTTTGCAGAAAGTCTACTTGGAGGATCATGCGACTTAGAAAATAGGTTATAATTGGGATTATAAGTCCCCTAAGTGGGGTTATCCTAATTATAATCTACTTATAAACTAACTTACTAAGTCCCATGATCCTTTAAGTGTTGCCAGAACACAGCTCATTTGGGAGTTTCCGAGAATTAGGGCTACCTTATTTTGGGTTACCTTAGGGTTCCTTTAAAGGGTTACTATAAGGGCACTATAAGGGGTTCCCTTAAAGGCTCTATAAGGGTTTAGAGTTTCCGAAAATTAGGGGTACCTTATTTGGGGGTCCTTATAATAAGGTCCTACCATTTAAGGTACTATATTGAGATCACCCTATTTTCGGAAACTCCCATTTCTCGAATGCCACGACCGAAAACTTCAACGTAGGACTTGACACCTGAAGCCCGAAACCCTACACCCATGAAGCCAGAAACCTTTCTGGGATCCCTCAACTCTCAACTGTTGGGATCCTGCCCCAAGGTTGAGTATGACGGTCGCTTAGGCCTATACTTGTCGGGTATCATGGGGAACTAAAGGTTAACCTTTTTTGGCTATATCGGGATTATACAGGGACTACACTACCCAAAAAAGGTTAAAGGTTCCACCAGATATCCCGAGTTCAGAGCCGCGTCCTAAATAGTTGAATTAGGTTTTCGAAAATAACTGATCAAGGTTTTGTAAGGTGTGAACCGTCTGATCCTTGTTGTATGCAAGGACCCCTGTGTAAAGTACCGAACATGTTCATGCCAATCAGCCCTATACCAAACGCCATAAAACTCAGTCTAAAAGCGTATTCCGCATTCAACTTTTCCAAATCTAAAGATCCTAAACCCTGAACCCTGAAGATCCTAAACATGAGACACCTCAATCTTTTAGAGTCTCTGTGTTCGGCCCCATGACTTCTCGACCACCCAATCAAAAGTGGCGCACAGTCTTGCATCTCCGAAAAGTTCAGGGCTGCGGGTTTAAAGTTAAAGGCGTCGGTCAGGGTTTTAGATCTCTTCAAGGGCTCTGTTCTTGGAGTTTGGTGTTCAGGGCTTAGGGTTTGGGGTCGACTCAAACCTTACAGCCAGCAGAACACCCCTGCAGTTATGTCTTCACATTTGGAACGTGAGTTGCATGGGTTAATAAGCTCGGCGCTGGCTTTCCCCTGACCTAACTTTCAAAAAGGGGCATGAGGATACGCGTGTTCCGGGTTCCGGCAGGTACTCTAGATGGCCCACAAAAGGCACGAAGCCACAAACACCAAGGTATGTAGCCCTAAACGCCCGGCCCTTGACAATTTGCACGTAGAATCCTCGAGAACCGGTTCACTCCACCTGTATCAACTTCACGCGAAGTAGGCTGTAGGTAGTAGGTCCAAATATGTGTGTATATATATATATATACATATATATATATAGTTTCTTGACACTCGCATCTTGTCCCGAAACCCTGTAGAGCGCGCACCTGGGGCTGCGGTGAGGGGGTCTGGAGACGCACTGCTGCGTGCGCCTCCATCGACCTCCCCCGCGCATGCACCTCCAAAGCCTCTTCCTGGCACGTCGGACACACTGATTCATATAAGGAACCCTATTATGTTTTATAGATCACTATTATGGTAACTTAAACTACATGATTTAACGAGAACCCGGCGAACCCCAGAACCCCAAGCCCCAAACCCAAACCCGAAAACGCCAAACCCTGAAACCCCAAACTGAAGAGCTCCAAACTGCGAAACCCCAAACTCTGAAACCCCTAAACCCCTAAACCCCCACCCCCCTAAACTCCAAACCCTGAAACCCGAAAACCCTGACAGGATTGGTCTTCTTAGGGGGTGCTCTGGCCTCGTAGGGATGAGAAGTAGGAGCAGGACCCTTAGGGTTGATGTGTTTAGGGATTTAATTTGGAGTTTGGGGCTTAAAGTTTTATCAAACTCTAGACCCCAAAACCTAGCCAGATCCCTAAACCCTTACACAATTTGAGGTTTAAGGCTGCAGGGTATAAGGTTTCGGGTTTCGGGTTGACGTGGATTTCGGGCTTTGCGAGGCTTGAAGATATGGCAGTTCCATCCTCTGTGATCGGCGCTGATTGGCCGTGGTCCGGGTCCGCGAAAAACACCGGCCCCCAACATCTTCAACCCTAAACTAACCTTGGGATCCAAAAACCTACTGTTTTAGGGGTTATACCCTATAATTAAGGGGTCATAACCCACTATTTTGTGGGGTTTGGAGCTACGTGAATACCCTAAACTCTAAACCTCAAACTGAGTCTGACCTCCCCATCGTGCCGGAACGTATACCTCTACTGCTGATGATAACCGAGGGCCCTGGTCCAGGCCACCAAACCTCGGGTCGCTCATCCAGGAAGATTTACACGGTGCAAAAGAAAGACGGTGTCTTTCCCATGCGCCCGGAATCGCCAGCATACCACATCAGGAGCACCACGGGCACCGGAGATTTATTGCATATCAAGCCCTGAACCCCTTACCCTAAACCCCAACCCTGAGGGTGATCAGTGATCATACTCAAAAGTGCCTTGAAACTGAGGACGAAGCTGGTGAGCAATCGCCGAACCCTATGAATCTTGCTAAAATTCAACACAAATTCCCTTAAGCTTGACGAAAATCGAGCGGCCTAATCCTGTTCGGGCTAGTACAGTTGAGGGTTTTAGGGTTTATAGTTTCTTTAAACTATGATGACGCACCCTTTTAGGGCTAAGGGTTTGGGAACACTCTAAATCCCAAACCCTAAAACCCTAATCCCCAAACCCAGCAGTTCTGCTCGTTCGGCCTCATCTGTCTCCTCGCTTTGATCGGCCCAGCTTGCACGGAAGGCCTGCCGGTGGAACGACATGGGAGTTTCCGAAATAGGGGACCCTAATATAGTACCCTGAAAGTGGGATCCTTATTAAAGGGAATCCCCAAATAAGGTACCCTAATTTTCGGAAACTCCCACATGGGTAGTTCTTGTTCTTCTTGTTGTTGTTGTCGAAGTTATAGTTGTAGTTGTCGTTGTTAGGGTCGGAGTAAGAGCAGGAACAGCAGGAGCAGGAGCACGAGTGTAGAGCAGGAGCAAGGAGTTGTAGGAAGGGGCAGGGGAAGGGGCAGGCAGGTGCAGGAGGAGCAGTAAACGCTCCTGGATCTGCTCGCCGTCAAGAGCCGCCGGTTCCTGCATCAACTCCTCGATGACATCGAAGGCCTGCGGTCGATATGTTTCCACAAACTTTGGAATGCGACCGGGCTTCGGCTACCGGTCGCGCCACACAGCACTTAGCTCGAGCAGGCCCGGGAAGCGACGGTGCAGCTGACCGTGCAACAGCTGCTCATACTGGCACACATACTCCAGTCGTAAGTGGGAGTTAATAGGGGACCCTAATGTAGTACTCTAAATAGTAGGATCCTTATTATAAGGACCCCAAAATGAGGTACCCCTAATTTTCGGAAACTCCCAAATGTGTGTCAGCCACCAGACAGCGGAGGTGGTACGTTGCCATCAGGGGAACGACGCTGGTTCCGTGGTTCCACGGTAAGACATCGAGGTCTTGCCGATCTTCACAAATCAAAGGGGAAAAAGAGGGACCCTTAATGGGGACCCCTACCCTATAATGGGCTATATAATGGGTATATAGTAGATATATTAAGGGTATATACCTAGGGGTCCTTATTAAGGGTCCCTCCTTTTCCCATTTGAACAAAGAGCACACTGTCGTCTGACGCCTGTCTCATGCTGACCACATGCACGAAGCCCAGGTTTGCCTGCCCTAGATTTGTTCAGACTTCACCAAAACTATCTCCAGCTGCAGCTAACTCACGATCGGAAGGGCCCTGAACCCTAAACCCTAAACCCTGAACCCTGAAGCCTAAAGCCTAAAGCCTAAACCCTAAACCCTGAACCCTAAACCCTGAACCCTGAACCCTAAAGCCTAAACCCTAAACCCTGAACCCTGAACCCTAAACCCTAAAGCCTAAAGCCTAAACCCTGAACATTAAACCCGAAAGCCTAAACCCTAAACCCTGAACGGCGGGGGTTTTTCGGAGGTGCGGCCAACCCTCTTTTTTCGGAGATGCGGCCAAGGATTTGTTCAGGTTGGACACGCAGGATCCCTGTAGAGGGTTCATCGGCGACGTAAAGAATTTGCGCCGCACCACAGCGCCAGCGCTTCGACACACAGAATCCCTGTAGAGGGTTCATCGGGGTCGCGCCGCACCACAGCGCGGGCGCTTCGAGGGGCAGGATCCCTGTGGACGGGGTGAGGCATCAAAAAACTCATCATCAAAAACAAATTAGATCCAGGGATCAACGAAAAACTAAAGAAAAAATAATGGGAAATGCAGCCATTTCCAAGACTATTTGCCTTGGTGGCGGTGGTGGTGTCGTTGATGTCGTTGATGTCGTTGCTGTCGTCGTTGGTGGTGGTGGGGTCGTTGATGTCGTCGTGGTCGTCGTCTTGGTTGCTGTTGTTGTTGCTGCTCTTCGCGTTAAACCCCCTGGAGCGTGGCTGTCTGGCTTTCCCCTTCTTGTGTGTTGCCGAATACGTTTATGTTCATTTCTTCGCGGCTTTAGAGAGCGGGGAGTTTAGTCTAAAACAGCGAGGGTTTGGGGGGGGAACTCGCCCTATTTGCAAAGCTGTTAAACCCTTCAGGATTGATTGTGCTTTCTTCGCGGTAAACTCCCCTGGAGCGTGGTTGTCTGGCTTTCCCTTTCTTGTGTGGCTTTAGAGAGCGGGGGAAAAAGCGGGGGGGTTGGGGGGGGCGCAGCCCCCCCATTTGCAAACCTTTTAAATCCTTCAGGATTGATCTTGTCTTCTTCACGTTAAAACCCCCTGAAGCAGTGCTGTCTGGTTTTATTCTTTTTTTGTGTTGGCGAACACGGTTTTATTTATTTCGTGGCGGCTCAAACGACCGGTTGGCAAACACGTTATTGTTGATTACTTCGTGGCTCAAGGGAACTTCCAAGTCAGTCATGATTGATTGTGTTGCTTCGCGCTTAACCCCGCTGAATCAACAACCCGAGAAAATCCGTGTTCTGAACCTGGGTTCTAACCCGAATTAGAACCTAGGTTCAAACCCAGGTTTGAACCTGGGTTCCGAACCTGAATTTCCAACCGTCTGCCTTCCTTCTATCTTTTCTTTCTTTCTGTTCTTCTTCCTTGCTTTGGTCCTTGTTCTGGGGTGTTTCGTTCTGTCTTCCTGGGTTCTTTTCGTTTCAGGTGGAAAAAACCAAGAAAATCACACCAAATCTGTCCAAAACGTGAGGAAAATAGTGTTTCCCCAAGGAAAACCATGGCAAAAACACCAAACAAAAATTTCAACAACAAGATCCAAAATAATAGGCCTTCCATATGTATATATATATATGTATCTATATTTATGTACACACATATGTACTCTCTCTCTCTGTGTATATATATATATACTATAAATATATATATATATATATATATATATATATATATATTGTTTACACTATATATACTATATATATACATACAATTTTATAATATCTACTATATCTACTATATATGCTATATATATATATATACTATATATACTAACTCTACTACATATACTATATAAATATGTATATATAATAAATATACTATATATACTATACATACTGTATAAACTATATATACTAAGGTTATATCTCCTGTACATATTACATATACTATATATATATATTGAAACTCTATGTATATCTGTATATATATATACTATATATACTATGTACACTAAATATACTATATATACTATATACACTATATATACTATATATAGTATATATATACTATACATATTATATATACTGTATATACTGTATATATAAATAAACTCTATAATGTATGAACAAACAATATAGACTCTATATACTGTATATATTATATAATATATTTCTCTTATGTTATATTCTTTTCTATTTTAGTCTATTCTATTCTCTTATATTACATTATATTATATTCTTTTCAATTCTATTAAATTCCATTATATTATCCTATAATCTTTTGTTATATTATATTCTATTATATTCTATGATATTCTATTATATTCTATGATATTCTGTTATATTCTATTATGTTCTACTCTATGCTATTATATTATATGATATTCTATTCTATTCTATTTTATGATATTCTATTTTATGATATTCTATTCTATTATATGATATTCTATTCTAATATATTATATTATATTATATCTTTTTATATTATATTGTATTTCTTTATTATATTACATTATGTTGTAGTATATTACACTATATTTTACTACATTAGATTACATTATATTACATTATATTACATTTTATTATGTTATATTACATTACATTACATTATATTACATTAGATTATATTATACTACATTATAATACATTACATATTATATATACCATTACATTATATTATATTATAATATATTATCCTTACTGTACATACTATATATATATATATATATATAGTATACATACTTTATATACAACATGTACTATGTATACTATGTATATATATATATATATATATATATATATTACTGAAATACTACCGTCCTTCCTTTCTTCCTTCTTTCTTTCCTTCCCTGTTTCCTTCCTTCCTTCCTTCCTTCGTTGCTCTCCTCCCTCCTTGCTTTGCTTCTTTCCTTTCTTCCTTCGATCCTTCTTCCTTCCTTCCTTCCTTCCTTCCTTCCTTGTCTCCCTGCTTTCTTCCTTCCTTCCTTCCTTGCTTCCTTCCTTCTCTCCCTTCTTCTTTCCTTGTTCCTTCCTTCCTTCCGTTTCTCTTGCATTCCTTGCTAGCTCCTGTGCTTTCTTGCTTTCTTTTGTGCTTCCTTCCTGGCGTTCTTTCCTTCATCATCTTTCTTCTGCTTTTCTTTCTTCTGGGGTTGTGCTTTATTTGTGTTATTCCTTGTTTGCTTTTTTGTTGCTTTTGCGGGACCGAGGGACCGGCGGACCGCAGGACCAGGAAACCACGGGACCAGGAGAGCACGGGACCAGAGGACCAGCAGACCAGAGGGCCAGAGGACTACAGGACCAAGGACCAGAGGACCAGGGGACCGCATGCACCAGGGACCCTTGGCCGCACCTCGCAAACAAGGGTTGGCCGCACCTTCGAAAAAAAAAAAAACCCATGGCCCACCCTGAACCCTAAACCCGAAAGCCTAAACGGCCTAAACCCTGAACCCTAAACCCGAAAGCCTAAACGGCCTAAACCCTAAAGCCTAAACCCTGAACCCTAAACCCTAAACCCGAAAGCCTAAACCCTGAACCCTAAAGCCTGAACCCTAAACCCTGAACCTAAAGCCTCAACCCCAAAGCCTAAACCCTACACCCTGCACCCTAAACCCTGAATACTCCAGCGAGACGTGTTGGGGTCTCGGGCCCGACGTTTCAGAAGACCTGGAGGGATTACGGTTCAGGGCTCTTTGGATTCACGGCCCCGCAGAAATCCGAAACCCTAGAGCCCTTTAAAGGGTTCCTCAAAGGGGACCTACAAGGGATCTACGGTAGGGTTCTATACTAAAGGGGCCTTAATAGTTCGAATAGGGTATTTTGGGGCCCATTATACTATAATCATAACAAGGAGCCCCCAAAATAGTCTTGGTAATTATTTAAGCCCCTATATTACAGCCAAACACTAAGCATGGACCTCTTCCAAACCTTGGCTCGGAACTTACTGCCCTTAACAAGGGTTCTATAATAATGGTGAAAAGAGCAAGGGTGCCTTAATGATTCTATCATATGGTCCCTTAAAGCGGTCTTACATTGGCTCGGCCTGCGCGACATGCTTCACGTAGGAGTCCATGCGGAAGTCGGCCACGGGCGGCGGGGACGGGGTTTGGAGACGGACTGCAGTGTGCGCATCCGTTTGCCTCCCACGCCCATGCACGTCCAAAGCCTCTTCCTGGGATTTGTCTCGTTTTGGCTTGAAGTTACAGCATCTACATGAAGGTCTACAAAAGCTGAAAGAAAGCCATTAACTATGTAGAGCCGTCATCAAACCGTAGTCCTTACAAACCATTATGACAGCTTAAAACGTCTGAAACCTAAGTCTCTGAGATTGTACGGCTTGGGTAAATATGGTGTTACGGCTTTCGAGGGTTAGGTTTTTGGAGTTTTGGTGGTAGCTTTGGGCTATGGTTTTCGATGTTCAAGGTGGGTTATGAATGTAAGGTTTAGCCCTGGCGGGAGTTTAAAGGCTAGCAAGCGCGTAGTGATATAACATGTGAAACAGCAATTAGTTGGTTCAGCACACACTGGTTAAATGATGACTGAATCTTGAAGTGGACCCTTAACGACCAAGCCAGGATGAAGCCAAGATTCTAAAGCCCCACCCTTAACCCTAAACGCTAAACAGCGAGACCCCTCCTCTCCCTTAAGTCCGGGGCATCGTGCTAAAGAAGGGGAAAGAAGAACTGTGATTCTGGCTGAGCATTTACATTTGCTGGCGCAGGATCAAAGTCTCCTTGACTCTGAGTGTTCTGCTGGAATACAGATTTACACAAAGCCCTAAACCCTCATCAAAAGCCTAACATGCATAGTGCTTCGCAGTGTGGGTTTCGGGTCTCGACGGCAAGGGTAGGGTTTTGGCGGCTTCGGCAGCTTAGGGTCTAGGCTTCTAGCGATCAAGCTTTGAGCGTTCAGGGTTGAAGGTTTAAGCTGTTGAGGCTTAGGAGTTTACAGTATCAGGGTCCAGCGAAGTACAGGGGCCTCACTAAATAGAATACAATTTCGGCCCCTCAGTCTACAACTATAACAAGGAACCACCAAAATAGTGTTGGTAATCATCTGGCCCCCATATTATAGAACCTGCGCCCCAAATTTGGAATTCCCAACTGCCCAAGAGCGCTCCAACTCTGCAACACTCAGTTCAAATCATAGTTCCTGATGAGGGGAACAAACTACAACCCCCGAACCCTGAACTCTACTTGAAGGCTCATCATGGGACTTAGTAAGTAAGGTTATAAGTAGGTTATAATTAGGATAACCCCACTTAGGGGACTTATAACCCCAATTATAACCTACTTACTAAGTCCCATGATCCTCTAAGTAAGGAAACATATTATATCTTCACAGACCCCGAGATCCATGTACCCTAAAGCCCAATCATAGCCTTATGGCAGATTCCCTAAAGCCTAGACTTAGAATCCGACAGCCCTACAACATAGAGGCCTCGACAGCTACAAAAGCGGGTGTTGAGTCATAGAAACAAAAATACAAATGTACAGGGCCTTTAATTTTACTACTTGTTCTTACTCCCCAATAAGCCACCAGAAATAAAAGGTTAAACTTTGCGATTCCTACTAAACCATACGAACCCAAAAAGATTATAGGTTAGGTATTGGGGATCTAAGTGTTTTGCAGGTCCTAGAAATGATCTGAAAGACTCCTCAACTCAAAGATGTTGGAGTAGAGCAGAGTGGCTGTCTCCTCGAGATACTCAGCATAGGGGGCGCCTGGGAAGATACAGCGACAGCCGAACACGTTTTGGACTCTAACAAATGTTGCCGTCATCATCAAAACTATCAACATCAACTTTGATGTTCATGTGCAACGTGAGCCACTGCTGCGTTTTTCTACTATTACGTATTATCCGTATAAGCCTTGCAATGACACACTATTTTTGTACTGCTTCCTGCAAGGGCTTCAAGTTGTACGAGTGACCGTTACCGACGCAGAGCAAAAGAATCGAAATATTCACCCCAGTGCTGCTGGTACTACTACTACTACTACTACTACTACTACTACTACTACTACTACTGTGGATGGAGGAAATCTTGCACCACTTTTAAGATATGTTAGTTAGCTTCACCCCGCGCCCCCTTCTTAACATTGCTATGAACACGGGGATTTACAAAATCGTTCCAATGACATAAATCTTGCACCGCCCCAAGAGGTCTGTCGTCAATGTTAAGAAGGGGGCGCGGGGTTGTTGCTTGGATGTGTATTCGAAACAAGATGTGTAGGTGGTGCAAGATTTCCTCCATCCACCGACTCGAGTAATGACGTTTCTAGAGGCTCGTGATATGACGTTTCTAGAGGGTCGTGACATGGTGCGTGACGTACTTGTGTGGCTTGCCATGAAATGCCATTGCAGCAAAATCTGAATCGCCGTATAGCAGCGTCCATGTCCCTGTCTTCGCTAATGGAGCCATGCAGCCCTGACAGTGCATCTTGCGCAGCAGCCAGGTCATTCTAAAATCGCAAGAATTCCACAACTTTGCTACATTTGGTAGGAATTTGCAGTTAACGTACAGTCAACGTTCAGTTAACGTTCAGTCAACGTTACAGTCAACGTTCCAGTTAACGTTGCGAAAATGCTGGCAGGGGCAGCATTTTGGAGTTTTCAAGCATAAAAAGCAAGAAATACATGTATTTCTTGCTTTTTATGCTTGAAAACTCCAAAATGCTGCCCCTGCCAGCATTTTCGCAACGTTAACTGGAACGTTGACTGTAACGTTGACTGAACGTTAACTGAACGTTGACTGTGACTTCTATGCAACGTTGCCCTGACTGGAAGTATCTGCAAGCCATGTAGGAAAGCCACGAGCAGGCCAAAGCTAGACCCCGCTCTGGGGACTGTGGATGGAGGAAATCTTGCACCACTTTTAAGATATGTTAGTTAGCTTCACCCCGCGCCTCCTTCTTAACATTGCTATGAACACGGGGATTTACAAAATCGTTCCAATGACATAAATCTTGCACCGCCCCAAGAGGTCTGTCGTCAATGTTAAGAAGGGGGCGCGGGGTTGTTGCTTGGATGTGTATTCGAAACAAGATGTGTAGGTGGTGCAAGATTTCCTCCATCCACCGTACTACTACTACTACTACTACTACTACTACTACTACTACTACCACTGCCACTACCACTACTACTACCACTACTACATCTACTACCACTACTACTACTACTACTACTACTACTACGACGACGACGACTACTACTCCTACTGCTGCTACTGCTACTGCTACTGCTACGCTGCTACTGCTCCTGCTCCTGCTCCTGCTCCTGCTCCTGCTCCTGCTCCTGCTCCTGCTCCTGCTCCTGCTCCTGCTCCTTCTCCTGCCATGCTCCTGCTCCTGCTCCTGCTGCTGCTGCTGCTGCTGCTACTGCTACTGCTACTGCTACTGCTACTGCTGCTACTGCTACTGCTACTGCTCCTGCTGCTGCTGCTGCTGCTGCTGCTGCTGCTGCTGCTGCTGCTCCTTCCTGCTCCTTCTGCTCCTGCTCCTGCTCCTGCTCCTGCTCCTGCTGCTACTGCTACTGCTACTGCTACTGCTACTGCTACTGCTACTGCTACTGCTACTGCTACTGCTACTGCTACTGCTACTGCTACTGCTACTGCTACTACTGCTACTACTGTGACCACTACTACTGCTTCCACTACTACTCCTGCTACACTACTATGTTGACCAGACAAGTTCAGACTGTTGGCGACAACGACATTAGATCAGACTTTGTGAAAAGAGACAACACGAGCCAAACCCCGACTAAGCAACATTGTCAGCTGCTGGATACACTGCATAACAGCGTCGTTGCTGCGAGTTAGTAGCCCCTCGACGGCCGGCCCAGGTCAAACAAAAAAGGCACCCTACATACTAAGTGCCGTATTATATTAAGGGCAAAAGCGACCCTAATTTTGACACCACCCATATGCTAGGATGGCGAAGCTCCGCAAGAAGTCTCACCCACAGGTTTTTGACTGTCTTTCACCAGGGAAGTTGCTGTCAAAATCTTCCAAGCAGCTCAGATCCCAAACCAATCCCTTTGAAGATTTAAACTTGAGAGTCTTCCGGATCATCATCCCCAAACGTGTAGCAAAAGCGCCTGAGCGTACTCCAGTTCAATCCCTCCACCCGGAGAGCAGCCGAAGCGCACTTGGGCAGTCCCGTTCGGTCCGGCGAGGGGTCCGGCGTGCGCCAGCCGCGGCGCAACGATGGCAGCCCACGCTCCTTGTCTTTATACTGAGAGTGATGTTACAAACAATGGTGCCTACAATGGTCTTTGCTGAGTGTGACATAGTAAAAGCAGGTTGAAGGATCACAATCATCGCAACAATCATGTGCCAAAGCCAAACCCTCTGAAGACCCTAAACCTTAGAGTCCTTCGGATCTTCATCCCCAAACGTGTAGCGGCCCCTTAAACCCTGAACCCTAAAGTTTGAACATGCAAGAAATCCTTCTCTCGAAAATTGAATATTGAATGCCGAGCCCTGAACGATGAACACCCACATCCTTACGGGAATCCTTACGGCTATTTACGGCTCCTTTGGAAGGCTTGTCGCCCTGAAGCCCAAGAAAAGACCCCATAGGCCCTATCCAGGCAGGCCAGGATCGGGCTCGGCGAAGACAAGCTTCACGGTGGAGACCTGGCAGTTTCGGGTTGGGGGTTTGGGGTTTAGGGGTTTGGGGGTTTAGGGGTTTGGGAGTTTAGGGGTTTGGGGGCTTAGGGGTTTGAGGTTTACGGTTTAGGGGTTTGGGGTTTAGGGTCTTGGGGGTTCAGGGGTTTGGGGTTTTGGGTCTGGGACTGGTGGTGGAGGTTCGAGGACTGGCAATTTATCGCGATAGGGTGTACGTAAAGGCTCATGCGACTTAGTAAGTTTGGTTACAAGTAGCTTATAATTAGGGTAACCCCACTTAGGGGACTTATAACCCCAATTATAACCTACTTACTACGTCCTCTAAGTAGAGTGTATGGGTGGTGGCAGTGGGAGCAGCAGCAGTAGTCGTCGTCGTAGTCGGCGTCGCAGTGGCAGTTGCAGTCGCTGTGGTAGTGGTAGTGGTAGAACTAGTAGTGAAGCGGTGTTGCGGTCCCCGCCATAGTCGTAGTAGTACTAGTAGTACTGGTGGTAGTAGTAGTAGTAGTAGTAGTAGTAGTAGTAGTAGTAGTAGTAGTAGTTGTTGTAGGAGCCAACCCTCGACGACCCAGGCCCCTCGGGGCAACCGAACGCAAGCTCCTGCTTCGGGGTTTGGAGTTCTGAATCCAGTGGGGTGTAGGGTTTGGGGTTTAGCTGATATCTGATACTAGGGCGAATCCAGCTTTGACTTGAACTGTGCCAGGGCACGTTTCCAAGAGTGTTTTCGTATCGGTGTCCGCGCGGGGTCTCAGCACCGTCCTAAAGGGAGACAAACATCGGCAAATACGCTATGGGGTCGTCGAGGTGTGGGGCAGTGTTGCATTTTCAAGGTCATGGGACTGTCGAATAACGGGGCCTCCTGCTGAAGTTCGGATTAGATTGCACGGGAACTGAATTCGGTGACAGAGGCTTTAAACTAGGAGGACTCCTTCATAGATTCGGGCTTCGGTTTGGGCAGGTGCCTTCGTCTCGTGTTCCTACCTCAGACTTAAGCGCCGAAGAGGCACCCCCAACCCCGGCACCCACCCCTCAATCTAAACCCTGAACCCCAAGTCCTAAGCTCTGAAGCTCTCAGGCCTGGGTTTTGTTTCTTTGTTTCTTTGTCAAAGCTTTTAGGGATTGAAGATGACGGCTTTGGGCTCATGTGAGTCCCTGGGGCTGTGGTTCACAGTTTGGGAGCTTCTGAAAACAGGGGACCCGAATATAGCATTCTAAATAATAGGATCAAATATGGTACTCCTAAGTTTCGGAAACTCCCCCCCTAAACCCTAAACCCTAAACCCTATCGGAAACTCCCGTTTAAGGATCAGGGTTGAGGCCTTGGGCTCCAGTTCCGGCATTTGGAGTCTCGGGTTGAAGAAATGTTTGGGGTGTGAGCCGAAGGTCGACCCTTATAGGGGGGTAGGGGGAGGGGGTAGGGGAGTATACTTCCTAAAATAGGCCTTCTTAAGTCCCTATTATAGGTATTAAGGCCCTACCTCCCCCTTACCCCCCTTAAGGGTCCTCATGGGTGCAGGGTCGGGTTTTGGCACTAACCCTAAACCCCTAAACCCGAAACACAAAACCCAAAAGCCCTAAACCGGAGGGAGGTTTCGGAGCATCGGGAGCAATGAGGGATCACAGGGGTCTGGGGGCTTCTCATAAACTTAGGCTGAGCTTTTAGGGTTCGCGGTTTTAGGGTTGCGGGTCTACGGGTTTAGGGTTTTAGTTGTTCAGGGCTCAGTGTTCTCACAATCTTGCTGTGTTCGCAGAAGAAGCGAATAAGAAGCATCCTGTCGTTGAGGGTGTATAATAATTAGGCTCCCTTTCGGCAGACGGTTTAGAGTATAGGGTGTATATCGGGTTTAGGGTTTAGGGGTCATGCGGATTCCCAAACCTGCGACCCTCCGACGTCCTGACTCTGCGAGTCCAAGTCATGGAAGGCCCTGATCTGCATGGTGGCCTTAGTTGCTGAGTTCATAGGCCCACAAAAATTACACTTGCAGTTTTGCAGGAAATACAATTCCTAAACCTTACACGGCCCTACACCCTAAATGGCCCTAAGCCCTAAACCCTACACCCCAAAACCAAAAAAGCGAAAAGTGTGCCCATTCAGCTGCCACGTGACCATCTCTTGGCGAAGCTCTTGGGGTTTGGTTGGGCCGAAGCTGCAATCCTAATGTGGCAGCCTATGAGCCGAGTATTGCTTGGAGGATCATGGGACTTAGCAAGTGTAGGGTTCCTTAAAGGGTTCCTTTAAGGGATCTATAAGGGTCCCATAAGGGGGGAGTTTAGGGTACTTGGAGGATCATGGGACTTAGTAAGTAGGTTATAATTGGGGTTATCAGTCCCCTAAGTGAGGTTATATATCCTAATTATAAGCTACTTGTAACCTGACTTACTAAGTCCCATGAGCCTTTCAGTGCAGGGGTTTTAGGGTTTAGCTTGGGGTTTTAGGGTTTAAGGTTTCGGGGGCTTAGGGTTTATGATTTAGGAGGTTTAGACTTAAGGAGTGCAGGGGTTCAGCATTGAGTCTTGAAGGGGTTTTAGAGTTTAGGGTTTGGGAGCTTAAGGGCCTAGACTCGATTCTTTGCATGTTTTGGGTCTAGGGTCCAGGGGTTCAAGGGTGCGTCTTGAAGGGGGTCCGGATTTAGGCATTTGGGGTCGCTGAGCTTAGGATTATGCATTTAGGCGTTCAGGGGTTTAGGGATTCGGGGTTAGGGGTTTAGGGTCTTAGTGGTTTAGGGTTAAGAGCTCTAGGGGTTTTAGGGGTTTAGAGTTTAAAGCTTCTGGGCTCGAGGGGGTAGGCCTTTTGGGGCTCAGTATGTAGATAGATAGACAGCTCGATACTTAGATAGATACTTACACAGATAATGTAGGGGCCATGATAATTACCTATACTATTTTTTTTTTGGGGGGGGTCCTTACTCTAATTCTGGAATGATGGCCCCTAAACCCTATTCTATTTATTAAGGTCCCTATACCATCGAACCCTACTATAGATCCCTTATAGATCCCTTCAAGGAACCCTTTAAAGGAGCCCTCTTAAAGGAACCCTATTCTGATTGTTAGGATTGGATTGGATGCGGACACTCGTGCTTCAGGCCGCTTGTGGGCGACACTGGGAAGCGCGTCCCAAAACTACATGCTGAATTCTCGGATGCCACCTGAATGGGGCGGTGGCCCCCCCGCGCGCCTGGTCTTCCCTTATGGGCTATCCAGGAAAAGCGCTCCTACGTGATAAACCGCGAGGGCACCTGCAACTGTGCCTTCCCACGAATTGTGCGAAGTTGTCTGGTCAGCAAGTAGTGCTCCATGAACTACCACGAGAACACTGTCCAACTGGCTCAAACCTCGCACACCATCATTTGCCCGGGTCCCAGATAAAGCCACACAGATCCATCATGATGCCAAGCCAACCCTCGTGCCGAGTGCAGGTCGGAGTTGCGGCATCTGTGGCGGTGCTAATGCACCGACCAGTCTGAGCAGAGACCTTCACATCACCTGGCGGCTTCAACACCATGTCGAGCATAGCTGGTGAGATATATCTGGAATTGCAGCAGATCTTCCCGCATGGGCCATCCCGCTGCCATACACCTCGATATCGAGCATCAGCTTCAACGTCGCTGACGGTCTGAAAAAGAAACCTGCCGCGACTCACGCAGCACCTGTCCGAAAGAACCTGTTTCGAGGCAGTTTGTAAACAAGGCTCCCAAACTCCCTTGTAGGGGTTGCGCAACTTTGCCAGCATGCCGGCTGGCAACAGTTCCACGGCAACACCCTCGGTAAATGTCGCAACAGACTGCTCCGCCATCCGCTTGATAGTGGCCTTCGCAGACACCAGGTTCGCACCAGTGGTCGTCTGTAAGCTCATACGCAGTGCGCGCAGCGAGATGGGACCGTAGACAGCAAGATCTGCGACCGCACAGTCCACAGCCGATTGAGTCAGAGCCCGAACATGGCCACGACGCAACTGCTCCGTGCAGTCACCAGAACGCCCACAATCGTTTAGGAACCCAGTGACGGCTTTGTGCCCAAGATGCTCAGTCTCGACATCCTCTAACTTAATGAGGGAAAAAGCACATTCTGCTGGTCCACTGTGTTGTCCGACGAATCAGGCGTACCCGTTCCCATAGCAGGGCAAGGTGTGATGGGTACTGGGGCTACCGAGATTCCTCATGAGGCGACTCGAGCCCTCTGATTGTTAGGGCCCTATATTTGACTGACAGGCTTCATTCCGGCCTGCAGCTTGCAGGTTTGTTGGGCGGGTTACCTTAACCCCAAGTAACCTACCTTTTTAAGGGCTTATATAAAGAAATCATATTAGGGCACCCTAAAAACGTAGGTTCCTTAGGGTCCAGGAAGGGTTTAGGGCGTAGGAGCTTTCGGGTTTAGGGTTTCGGATTTAGGGGTTGGGTGTCGTGCAGAGGACTACTTGGAGGATCATGGGACTTAGTAAGTAAGGCTATAAGTACCTTAATTGGGGTTATAAGTGTAGTTACCTTAATTGTAACCCTAGTTACTAAGTCCCATGCCCCTTGAAGTATGGTGTGCATCTGGAGCTTGGGGCTTGCAACATATACTGTATAGCTACAAAACTCACTGGCCCAAAACCCAAGGAAACAAAAGCTGAAACTGTCAGAATCGACTACCTTAAGCTGAAAAGTTGAGTCTACAGCCAATAAGAAAAAAACTAATCCCTAAACCCTAAACCCTAAACCCTAAACCCTAAGCCCTAAGCCACTCAGCCCTTCAACCCAAGATCCGAACCCTAAATGCAGCGGGCCTTACATCTGAGACTCTGCACACCCTGCTGTCCTAGGCTTGGGTTTAGGGCTTAACCCTAAACCCTAAATCCTAAATCCTAAACCCTACACCCTGAACCCCAAACCCCACAGCTAAGCCCTATACTAAACCAAAATCCTAAACCCTAAGGCCTTAGGGTGCCAATCCTTTAGGGCTGGGCTCCTAAGGCGAGTCACAAGCACTTAGAGGATCATGGGGCTTAGTAAGTAGGTCATAATGGGGTTTACAAGTCCCCTAAGTGGGGTTATATATCCTAATTATAAGCTACTTATAACCTGACTTACAAAGTACCGAGTCACACCCAGAGACTCCAATGTCCCTTAATTAAGGTATATTCCTTAAATCATATTAGGGATCCTATTCTAATTTAAGGAATATTCCTTAATTAAGGGGTATTAGACTCCCCTAAACCCTAAACCCTAGAGATCCCTTTAAGCATCCCTTTTAGGAACCCTTAGGGTATATTGTATTCCTTAATTATGGGATATTGGAGTCTCTGGGCAAGCAGGGTAAATGGACCACGGTTTGATGCAGACGAATCCCTTCGGATAGGCCGACGTCCCCAACCGAGGCTGACCAACAAAGAGCTTGCTGTTTAAAAACCCTAAACCCTAAACCCCTAAACCCTAAAGTCTAGGGTGATGCAGGCCCCCGGGTGAGAAAGTCTGAGGATCATAATACGTATTAAGGCGGCAAACAACTCTCGACCCGTTTTCCCACATGACCTTCGGCAGCTACTCGATGAAGCAACTAGAACCGAGATGCTCGAATCCAAGATCCTGTCCCTAGCTCCCAAAATCCGTGTTTAAGTGCCCCCCCCTCCCGCGCCCGATCGCTGTTCCAATCGCAATGTCGGTCTATGCGATCCGATCCGAGCTCAGAAATGAGCTACTGAAGCGCTCGGTGCAGTTGAGGTGTGTTTGAAGGTTTGGGTTCTGCGGTATATGGCTGAATGTAGGGCTCAGAGTAGCTCAGCTAGTAATGATACCACTTGCAGGCCCTTTAGAGTCATACGATTATAAGCCCGAATACTGGAATGCTCTTATGATTCAGTCCCGTTTACAACACCCCAGACAAACCTTGTAAGACTAAAAACCTGAGTGGCCCCTACATTCACTTCCCTAAACCTCAAATCCTCAGGTAGATGGTTTTCGGACTTTATCCCTTTGCCCGGCCGACCAGTCATCCCCTCAATCATTGAAATTAGGGGCTTCATGAAACGTAGCCCATACTAAGAACATGCGCGTCTGCGTGTCTATCCATCTGTCTATCCATCTACCTAAACGACCTGCGCATGTAAGTATGCAGGCATGTAATTAGATATCATATGTATATAACCTGTGTATGTTTTGCATACTATATACTATATACATATACATATACATATGCATATACCTATACATATACCTATACCTATACCTATACATATACCTATACCTATACCTATACCTATACCTATACCTATACATATACATATACATATACATATACATATGCATATACATATGCATATGCATATGCATATGCATATGCATATGCACATACATATACCTATACATATACATATACATATACATATACATATACATCTACATCTACATCTACATCTACATCTACATCTACATCTACATATACATATACATATACATATACATATATATGTGTGTGTGTACGCATGCATGCATGCACGCACGAACGTGTGTGTTTTGTGTGTGTGTGTAACCATGCATGAACTTGTACGTGTCCATGTGAATATGCCCCGTGCATCATGTGTCATGTATCAGTCTGTATCTTTCTGTATATGCAGATGCGTTTGTATATAATATAGTAACAGCACAGAAACCAGTATCTGTACACATGTCACATGGTTCCTCGCACTGCGCACCGGCTTCAAAAAGAAGCTTTTGTTTATTACAGCTCCTGTCCTGCATGGGAGGGACTACCCGGCCGCTGGGTCGAAGCCTTTAGGGTTTAGGGTTAGGGTTTAGGGTTTAGGGTCTACGGTTAGGGTTTAGTGTTTAGCTTGTTCTTAGGCTTTGTTGGAGCTGAAGAGATTTGCTGGCTACATGTTTCGGGATCAAAGGTTGCAGGGTCTGTGAGCCTTAGGCGTTCGAAGGAGAAAGCCGAGGATTTAAGGCTCAGGGTTTGCGGTTTCAGGGTTTTGGGAGCCGGGTTTAGGTTCAAGATTTTACGGCTTAGGGTTTAGGCTTTCGTTTAGCATTTAGGGTTCAGGGGGCCGGGGGGGCCATTGGATTGCGACCCAACGGCCCGGTTGGACGCCACCTGTTTTGTGCATCCATTCTCGTATACACACAGTGGGGCTCCTGGCTGAGGATTAGCAGAGGATGAAAAGCCTGCTGGCTACAGAAGACAACCCTTTCGTAGAGTCATCATTCATAAGCCCTCCTCCCGAAAAGAGAAAGATCACAACTTCAGCCAAGGAATGCCATCCTACGACAAAAGCCCTTGCTATATCGTCTGCCCTTGAGCAGGCACTGCACTGACGCCACGAAGCCTAGTTCTGACATCCAAGGCAAGGCCTAGGATTTGGGCTAGTTCTGACATCCAAGGCAAGGCCTAGGATTTGGGCTCTACATCTAAACACATGCACTAGATATATTGGGGTGGAAGGTGTCGAATACCCACTTGCAACATGCTCGACTCTGCATGCGCCAAGGAGGCTCACAGAGAAACGCCCGCTGCGGCCAGCGGGGCAAAACTGAGTCCAGTCGTGAAGGAAGGTGCCATCGCCATCACAGGTATCACCCAGGGTTGCACACTCCCCCAGGCAGCCCAAAGGAGATCAGTTTAGCCGTAGCCGTAGCATCTCATTTTGTGAAATTTTGGGTGCCTGGAGACCATGGGAATGTCTCGAAAGAAGGATTCCTACACTGGAGCCCCAAAGATCCTCAATCTAACTTTGGTTAGGGCCTTATAAAGGGGTCTATAAGGGTTTCTATAAGGGATCTATAAGGGTACTAAATACAGGGGCCTTAATCTCGCTTCTTTCAGGTCTAGGGCTTAGGGTTTAGGTCCGTCAGTATTCTGTGCCCCTGGCAACTGGGATCCTCGCCCGGTTCAGAGGTTTACGGTTTAGGGTTCAGGGGTTTAGGGTTCAGGGTTTACGCTCCTGAGGTAACACTCACCGAAAACTAGACTATGAAGATGTGCTTGAAACCCACACTAATCCCTGAGTGCTAAACCCTAACCCTAAATCCCTGAACCTCCTAAATTCCTGAACCCTGTTTGAGACAGTCCCACATGGACCCAACAGAACTGGCCGCAGCAGAGCAAAGTCGGTGAGCGCACAAGGTGCGCGATGCCTTCCGCACTCCGGTCGAGCCGCTCTTAGTGGGACAAAGTTACTAGGGCTCCTTAATCAAAGGGTTCCTTTCAGGGTTCCTATAAGGGTTCTACAAGGGGGGGAGCTCAGGTTACTTAAAGGATCATGGGACTTAGTAAGTAGCTTATAATTGGGGTTCTAAACCCCTAAGCTTAATTTGGGTTATCCTCATTACAACCTACTTATAACCTTACTTACAAAGTACCGTGAGCCTTGAGTAGACCCTAAATCCTAAACCTTTAAAGGGAACCCAATTATAGAATCCTATAGCACCCTTAAAAGGAACCCTAAACCTTAATTACTAACCCTAAACCCTAAACCCTAAACCCTAAGCCTACTAAGTCCCATGAGCCTGTCAGTTGGAAATCGGGATTCAGGAGTTTTAGCCGGCTTTAGGGGGGCTTTGGGGGGATGTAAGGTCATTTATTTAAGGTATCGAAATTCGGAGTTTCGGGCTTACTTAAAGGATCATGGGACTTAGTAAGTAGGTTATACTTGGGGTTATAAGTCCCCTAAGTGGGGTTACGCTACTTATAACCTACTTATAACCTTACTTACTAAGTCCCATGAGCCTTCAAGTAGGGGCTGCAACGTGCGAAGTAGGGTATTCGCTGGAGCCCGAATCACCTGGGAGGGATTCCATCCCGACCTAGACCTACAACCTAACATAGGGGCCCCACTAATTGGAATAAGGTTTGGGGGCCCAGTATACGGTACTATAAATG